CCCACCGGCTCCGGCTCCGGCCCGGGCTCAGCAGGGCCCGGGCCCTCCTGCGAAGTCTGGCTGACGTACACCACGATGATGTCGCCCTTGAAGTTCATCACCTGCCCGCTGGAGATGAACGTGGAATTGCTGTTTCCCGTCACATTTCCTGCAAGGGACAGAGCATAGAGAAGCTGCATCAAGAACTACAGGATGGCATTTGAAACCACCACAGGCGTTCCTTTGGAAAGCTTGGGTCACCTTGGGGGCTGTGTTAGCAGGGGCAGAGAAGAAGTGAAGAGATGGGAAAGATGCAAGCATATGGGTCATTCTTGTGTTTCGTCTTCTCATACCTGACGGGGATCACACACAATTCCAGGACTCTGGCAGGAGAACCCGCCTGGATTCTTGAATCTAGGTAACATTCAGTTGCAGGGAGAGGCAGGGAAGAGAAGGAAGAAAGCTTCTGGGGGTGGGGATAGACTAGTTGTAAGGAAAAGAAAGGAGAGGGAGGAGAAGGCAGAGGAAGGATGACAGTAGGTAGGAGTACAAGAAGCAGCCTAGCCGAACAGACCTCAATTCACTGGGGCAACTGAAGCATGGCCTTCCCACCCCCTTCCAAAAGGGCCCTGCCGCCTCAACAGGATGACCATGGAGCTAAGTGAGCTCAGAGTCTAGCAGATGTTAATATAGGTCAGTTTTATTCCTCAAAAACAGAAAGAAAGAAAGAAAGAAAGAAAGAAAGAAAGAAAGAAAGAAAGAGAAAGATGGAGGGAGAGAGAGAGAAGGAGGAAGAAAGAGGGGGGCAAGGAAGAAATCCAGTTCTATTATTCCTTGGTAGATAACTGGAAGAAACCAGTCTTAGATTAATAAAAACTTCTGGCAAGCAGGAAGTCTAACAGACATTAGGAAAATCTGTCTCCTTTTATTATTCAATTATTTAAAGATCCAATTTCCAGAAATACCCCAGGTGAAAAATAACTGCCCAAACCCCCAACACTCAACATCACAAACAGAACCTTGGGTCTGTTCAGAGGACAGGACCATGAAAATGGTCCCTCACCAGGTCTCCAGTACTCACCACCATTCGAGCCTATCTTCTGTTGTTACCCAGCTCAATGGCAATTTATGCAAGTACGATGAAGTTTGCATTACCGTTTTTTAATGAAGTTGCCTCAAATTTGGAAGGACAATTTTAGACAGTGACTAACATTCTACAAGGCATTCAGGAAATTCCTTTGGGATAGCCTTCCTCCTGCTGGGGGGGGGGGGGGAACACCCCCCACATCAGGGAGCCTACTAGTGTTTCTGCCTCCCTGCTCACTTGGAAGTGTGCCCACAAGTGCTTGTAACCTACATTGTACACTAAACAGATGGCCATTATCTGTTACTTTCTCTTCCTCCTGTTAGTTCTCATATGTTTTTACCAGATAAAGTCATTAGCAGACAGTCAAAACAAGAAACCAAGGTAACACATATATGTCATAAATGTTACGTTCTAACTAAACATATGCCATATGTATTTAATAAAATCAGTAATTCTGAATTGCTTTGAAGTATGGTTTTCCTCAGTACAGTCATTCTACGGTTTTATTATGACATCATTTACTGCTTTTGTTCTTCAATATATTAAACAATAGAGGGCCTCTCTAGCTAGTGCAGGATTGATGTACGATTCTGGATTTAATCTCTTCTTTCTCCTCCTCACACATAGATTTATCTGGTAGTGTCATGGCACATGGGATTTATTTACCATTTACATTTTTATCTGCCAACAAATCATCACGATGAGCCCACTGTTGTTTACTTCTCCTTTGTCAGGATCTCAGTTAATCTGAGCCCAGTAAAAACCCTGAGCTTTTTTCATGTCATCCTACACACAAAACAGAGATGTATAAGATCTTGCATCTTGAGCATTTCACTTCAAGCCATTTCCCCTTAACAAATTTAACCTGACAGTAGTATACTAAAAATCCTAATATACATTCTTGTGATGTGGGATGTCCTTCTGTATGTTGCAAATATGTGTTGCTTTTATTGGTTAACGAATAAAACTGTTTTGGCCAATGACCAGACAAAATATAGCTAGGTGGGAAATACAAACAGAATTACATAGAGAAAGAAGGCAGAGTTGGGGAGACGCCAGGTAGCCTCTGGGGAAACAAGGTATTAGGTAACAAGCCACGAGCTTTATGGTAAAATATAAAATGATAGAAATGAGTTAATTTAATTGTGAGAGCTAGTCAGCAATATGCCTGAACTGTTTGTCAAACAATTATGAACTATTGGTCAATTTATAATTAAGATTAAGCCTTAGAGTAGTTATTTGGGAACTGGCAGGAGGGATGAGAAACCTCCAACTACATTCTTGTTTTCTATTTTTATTTTCAGTATGGAACTCAACCCCTTTAGCTTACAGGACATAGTTAAACAATCCATAATCCTTTGACTCATAGAATAATAAATGTCCTTTTTGGAAGGCATGGGTCAGGTAGAAGGATGAAGCAAAGACCGCTTAAATTGTTGACAGCAAGTTAAAAAAAAAAGTTACCTAGGAAGAGATTATCAATGTTATTTGTCAGTTTTTTTGGGGGGAGGGGAGTTGTTTGCTTTAATCACAGGTTTGAGCACAATGACTCAAGGTAAAAGCACTCTTCCAACAAGCCTGCCAACCTGAGCCCAGTCCTGAAATCCCACAGTGCGAGGAGAAATCCACATTGCCCTGAAAACTGTCCTCTGACTTCCACACGTGCACTGTGGCATGTGTGCTCCCACCATACGCAACACGCACACACACAATACATAAAATAAAAATGTGAAGGGATGATTTGTGACAAAAAAAATCTTTCATCAAGTTCACCAGGTTAACATTTGTGGGAAAGAGTCAACTGGTACAGACTAAACTTTAAAAAAAAAAAATCTGAGGGCACTGGCTGCTCTTCCAGAGGATACAGGTTCAGTTCCCAGCATCCATAAGGCAGTTCATACCTGTCTGCAACTCTAGTTCCAAGGCTTCTAAGACTCTCACACATACATACATACATACATACATACATACATACATGTAAAAACATCAGTGAACATAAAGTAAAAATACTAAGAAGAGGAATCAGGAAAATGGGAATCAGTCTACCACAAGATCCAGCAATTCCACTCTTAGGCATGTACCCAAAAGAAGTACATTCCTACAACAAGGACATCTGTTCAACCATGTTCATAGCAGCATTATTTGTAATAGCCAGAACCTGAAAGCAACCAGGCTCGTTCTGTGGCACGTTTACATAATGGAGTAATACTCGGCAGAAAAAAACAGTGGAATCTTGAAATTCGAAGGCAAATGGATAGAACTAGAAGAAACCATCCTGAGTGAGGTACCCCAGTCACAAAACCGAAAATGGTATGTACTCACTCATATATGGATTTTAGACATAGAGAAAAGGAGTACCAGCCTACAATCCCCACCTCCAGAGAAGCTAAGAAACAAGGAGGATCCAAAGAGAGACATACAAGGTCCCCTGGAGAAGGGGAAAGGGACAAGATCTCCTGAGCTAATTGTGAGCATGGGGGAGGGGAGAGGGAGCTAGAAGAAAGAGAAGGGGAAAAGGGGAGGAGAGAGGAGGACATGAGAGAGCAGAAAGATATAGTCAGGGGAAGAATAACGGAGAGCAAGAAAAGAGATACCATAATAGAGGGAGCCATTATAGGTTTAAAGAGAATTCTGGCACTAGGGAAATACCCAGATCTACAAGTGTGACCCCAACTAACAATCTAAGCAATAGTTGAGAGGCAACCTTAAATGCCCTTCTCCTATAAATGAGATTGATGATTATCTTATTTGCCATTCTAGAACCTTCATCCAGTAGCTGATGAAAGCAGAAGCAGACACCCACAGCTAAACACTGAGCTGAACTCTGGAATCCAGTTGCAGAGAGGGAGGAGTGGTGAGCAAAGGGGTCAAGACCAGGCTGGACAAACCCACAGAAACAGCTGACCTGAACAAGGGGTTGCTCATGAATCCCAGACTGATATCTGGGAAACCAGCATAGGACTGATCCAGACCCTCTGAACGAGGATGTCAGTTTGGAGGTCTGGGCAATCTATGGATTTATCACTAGTACAGTATTTATCACTAGTACAGGAATGGACTTCGGGAGCCCACTCCACATAGAGGGATACCCTCTCAGCTTAGACACACAGGGGAGGGTCTAGGCCCTGCTCCAAATGATATGACAGACTTTGATGATCCCCCGTGGAAGGCCTCATGGGCTTCTGCTCCCTAGGGAGCAGAAAGGGGTTGGGATAGGGGGTGGGAGAGCAGGGAAGGAGAAGAGGAAGAGGGAACTGGGATTGACATGTAAAAGAAGCTTGTTTCTAATTTAAAATTGGTCTAATTACAATTCTAAAAAATAAAATAAATAAATAAAATTTAAAAAAAAGAAGAGGAAGAAACTTAAAAAAATATCCTACTGATTTGCCAGTATGTAAAAGGTAGAAGAATGGTCTTCACCGACATGTCACCCACACACCTGCCCAGGACCACATGTGCAGAGGCTTTGCTATCATTTACATTCCTATTAATTTTTACACAAGGTTCATTGCATTTTTGTTCCTCAGTAGGCTCTGCAAATTATGTCAGTGGTCCCAAGGAGCTGTGTGGTAAGACCACAGACCTCTGATTTAGTGTCCCTGCTTTAGGACACTAAATATTGCAGAATATTTATTTCAATATTGCAGAATTGTTTACCACTCTAATTTTCTTTATCAATGAACTAGATCCCCAATAAGAGAGTGAATTGTAGATATCTGCTGATAACCCTTCTCTCTCATTCTCTCTCTGTCTTTCCCTCAGCTAGACCCAAACTCTTGACACAGATGAAGATGCCCTTGAACTTCTGATCTTCTTGCCTCTATCTCCTGTGTGCTAAGGCTACAGGCTTCTGTGGCCACAGGCATGCACCACTATGCCTGGTTTATACAGTGCTGTGCATTCAACCTGGGACTTTGCACATGCCAGGCAAGCACTCTGCCATCTGATTGCTCTTAAATATGTTTTCCTGATGTTTAAGCCTCTTGCTACTTGCTGGGAAACTCTCAATAACTTTCTGATAATGGAGAACAGAGCCTGCACCTCTGAGAATGGGTCTACACAATGTGTCAATCAGATCTTCG